GAAACATCTAGAGAACATCTTGAGTACATTCAGAGAATGTCCAACACAAACCCTAGGTTCGAAAAATCTCCAGAAATTCCGCGAAAATCGCGGAAACAATGTTCATGACTGATGTGCTGTCATCAATTGTGTTGTTTATTTGGCTCTCAATTTTTTACCGGTTCAAACCAAACACCCTGCAAATAATCGAGAAATGATCTCAATTCCATAAGTCACACTGGATTTACACGGAAATTCCCTGAGGTCTGTCCAATGTGAGACATTTTCCTTTTTTTCAATATGAACATACACGGGAACAAATCAAAAATCCAAAATGGGATAAATGACTCATGATTTCATGAACATAGCGTATTTTCATGTTATGAAAATACACCATGAATAATATTCATGATATCATGAGCTATGATTACGCAACGCACCCAAGATTCCCGAAATCATGAATCATCCGAATTAAATTCATGAACTAAATTCATGAACTAAATTCATGAACTAAATTCATGAGTTAAACGTTTAGTTTTCAAACCAAAACAGATTTAAAAAAAAAATAAAATAAAACAACAGACTGGATTCGAACCAAGAACCTCACGATCTTTAAACCCATACTTTGACCATTAGACTATCAATACTTGTATAAGATGGAAGGCAAAAAGCGTATAAGAGATGCCTATGTAGTGCGGTGAACACGGTTTTCCAGGTAACGCTTGCAGCGGTCATGATTCCGCTGCATTATGAAATCATGAATTCCCATAACGAAATCATGAATCATTGTTATGATTTCATGATTTTTTTTTTTCATGAAAATGAAATCCGATTTTTTCCCGTGAAGCATTTTTCGTTGTCAAATCATAAACGAATCGTATATATGCGAGTAATTGCCACGTATACCGAATATGCTAGGTTCTCCAAATCGTCCTGGAGTTCAGTTGATTTGTTCTACTAGATCAACCAAGACTGCAATAATGTTTGTAGTATCGTGTAGAGTATCGTAAGACCAACAGTTATATAAACTTGATTCCATAATGTGACTCCAGGTGATTTTTCTATAAGGCTGTAAAACCCGCCATCTTGGAAGAAAGCTTGATGATGCAGATTTCAAAATTTTGCACGACGAGGTATATGATTGTTAACATTTCAATGCTTCTATTTCCCAAAATTTCGAAAAAAAATCGATCTCTTCTTCCGATCTTATCGATCTTTAAAAAAATTTGTAATTGTATTTTCATCTAAAAAACGAGTTACTCCTATGCCAGAATACGTGGTACATTAAACGAACATAACGTGTATCAGCATCGCTCCTTACAATGACGTCAGTATTTGCGCTTCCGATATTTACGAATACAGCAACATTTGATGGATTTAGCCACCTCCCTCCTGTGCTCATTGCTCCTTATCGTCAGGACAACATTTAAATTGAATATTATAAAGGAAAGAATTTCTTGGGCTACCAACGTAAACAAGTGTATAGTCCATTCTATATGCAAGGGTATTGATGGTCCGAAAGTGAGGATAACTATAACAAACCAATATTTTTGGCTAGAGCGAAAGTTAGAATAGCAAACTGAACACTTGAAAATGGGATTACGAAAGTGTGTGAGTTATAAACGTCAGAAAGGTCACCTAAAATAAAAATCATAAGATCGATCTACTAAAAATCGATTATTTGGTACCGATTTAATCAGTGGATCGATTCTAGAACCAAATATAAGATCGATCTTTCTCTGAAGATTGCCCAATCCTATTTTGTTTAAGAGTGGTGCGGCTTATTTCTATAGATGCTCATGTGGGATGCAGCTCACTGCTTGCAGGCAGCCTTTCGTTGTGTACTGGAGAACACCACCACTCACCACGCGGTGATTGAACAAACACCGTTTGGTGAGACCGGATGGAATTCAACTTTGAAATCTGAGTTAGGGAAATCGCTTTTTGCTGGCAATCGGTGATAATTTTAAGTATCATAGCAACAAATGCACATTCGTTAAATTTTCAATAGTGACATTTTGAAAAATGATAAAGTCTTAAATTCAACAGATCCGTAGAAATATTTCTAATCGATTGGTGAAAAAATTATTGAAATTGGTTCAGGGGCAGCTGAGTTATTAATTTTCAAAATCTTTCATAATTTTGTTACATGTTCCATTTTCGGTTTTCACAAAGTGTACCCCCATACATAAATCACAGACGTCAAAAGCCTATATTTTTTTTTAATATTTTTATTTAAAAGCATATAAAAACTGCTGATTTCTGAATCAGTTGACACTTAAAGATAATCAAAAATCCTTGAACAACAACTATTGGACAACTTTTTGAGCTTTTTTTTGTGAAATTTAGCTCATAAAACGATTTTTAAAGTTGTAACAATGACTTCCTGTGCAACATTTTACTAAAAAAATTGATTAAACAAAAAGTTAAAGAAATTGTCCAAAAGTTTCTGTTCAAAGAATTTTGTTATTTTTAAGTGTCCAACATGAACATCTTACAGAAGGTAAGATTTTTCATGAGCTTTTAAATTAAAAATATTCAAAAGGATGATTTTTTGTTATTCAAATTTAAAAGGTGTTTTTGGATGTTGTATATTCAAAATTAACTAAGAAATGAAATGGTGTTTTCCTTGGCTTTCATCGTCATTTCGATTGGAAGTGACGTTTTCGTGTTATGATTTGTTGAAAAATTTCTAATTCGCAATTTTGATGTTTTTTATGAGATTTAAAATGGCCGAGTTTCAGCAAAACTGTGAATGAATGACCGCAACAAACAATAATGCAAACTTTCATGTAAATCGGAGAAGGTCACATCAGATCGATTCGTCATTTGGCGTGGAACTGCTCATTTGGTTGTTGACCAAATCCACGCCAAACGGGACAATGAACCAAGTTTGTGCAGGAATTTGGATAATTATTTAGTAGTAGAAAACTGGATTACCTTTTCATAAAAAAATACACACTGAATAAAATATCTTAAATTTTTGTCAAAAAATGAAACAAATCAGTTAAAAACTTCAAAAACACATAGTACAATAGTATATTTCTAAAATTTTTAAACTTATGATAAGCTTTCAATGTCTAAAATAAATGCTAAAAATGCTAACTTTTATGGTATTGAAAAACAGATAAAACATTGTGGAACAGCATCGTAAAGTAAAATTTGGAATTTATTTCCTAAACAACTTTTATATACATAAGTTTAAAAATCTTAAACATAATCTTTTTTTGACGAAATTTATTGGTGTTTGTTTAGTGTGAGAAGACAGTCCAGTGTCCTACAACTTTGTCTCATACATCATTTCGATAAGATGAGCCGTTTTCATGCTATGATTTATTGAAAAATTTCGAATATGCCATTTTGAGAAATTATGTGAGACTCAAAATGCCCCTAGAAAAGTATAAGACAAAGTTTCATGAAATTCGTAGAGGATTTAATAAATTCGATTCGTCAGCTGGCGGAGATTTGCTCTGCTGTTTAATTCATTGCATTCGATGGAATCATCAAAAACTATTGTAAAACGATTTAACTAAGCTCTAAACATCTCAGGTGAGTGTGACTTTTGCCGGCAACATCATGTTGTTCGGCAGCCTTTTCAATTAATCTCGAGCTAACTGTTCTATAATTCGCAACTTGAAAATAGAAACATTTTATGGTACGTGTGTTTCACGTCACGAAAACTTTTCACGTCACGAAAACAAGCAAACATCGAAGCATGAGTATACATGGAAAGGTAAATGAATTCGAATGCATCCTTAGCAGAAAGATTCAATGTTTTTTTGTATAAATCGGTTTGAAAAAAGATAGGGAACACGTAGATCATTTTCCGTATAAAATAAGTAAACTTGTATTATTATCATGTAGGGTAAATGTTGGCTTCGGCACCCATTGACTGTTTTCGGCAACCAAAATTTAAACGATAATTTCACTATGTTTTCCCATCAACACACTTCCCTGGATGTATTCAAACGATTCTTTAGTCTTTCAGCTTCAATCTGATTATATTTGTACGACCGAGCAATCCTATTATGCCAGATTTTTCTTCAAATGAAGTATACGCACTACAAAATGGGGCTGATTTCGAGTTGCCGATAATAGAACAGCTGGTTAACACGCAGTTCTAATGGGAAGGTTGCCGAAGAAAAAGAGGCTGCCGACAATAGTCACACTCACCTGAGAAGTTTGGAGCGTTGTAAAATCGCTTTCAAACCGGTTTGAAAAATTCTGTCGATTGGAATGGATAGAGAAGCAAGCAGCAGATGAATGTTAACAAACAGACACGTGATAGATGTGCGTAACGCTGACAAAATGCTAATAGAAGTGCGGACGCTGCTTAGATTGACGAGAATACGTAAATTCCCCTATTATATTTTCCTACTTTTATTTTTCTTTTCAGGTAAATCAATGCAATGTGACGATCCTTGTTGTGACAAGATTTCCGTAAGTAGAAATCAGACCCAGTGTAAAATTGTCCATATACCATATCAAATGTGTTAGTTTGTGATGTCTGTGCTAGAGAAACTGAACTTATAAGTGTTGCCAGTATTCATATTATTTTTTTTTATCTGTTTGTCCATCCTATTATTTATACCAGATATAGCAAACCTCTTAAAAAGGTTACAGGACAAATGTGCTATAGGTGTACATTTAGTCGTTTGAATATTTAACCAAATTGATGCAAAAGATCTTGAGTCAAACATTTTATGACACCATTTCCAAGATGTCGAACTTTGAAAAATTATCAAAATTGGCATGATATTTGGACTTAGATCACAACCTGAATTAAAATTAAAATTAATCTGAGTTTGGCCTTTCTTATCTCAGTCGGTAAAGGTCTGGCTATCGGAAAACCATTCTGATGATGACGGCTTCTGTGTTCAGTACTTCATGGTTTAGCATTTTCTCGAATTCCGTAGGCATACATAATCATTGTGTTTGCCATACGTTTAAAAATGAAAAAAAAAGTATACAAACTTAAAAAGCTCTCAATTAAAAATTGTGGATGTGTTGAAACAAGCTAAGTTGAAGCATGTCCTAGGTTGACACATACTAAAATTGGAACGAAACTGAGAAGATTAGCATTGCCCCTGCGCAAGGATGACACGCAAAATCGTGAAGCGTTCCACATTTTTGGCTTCTCTTCGGAAAACCATATCGAGCTAGCCACATTGGACATCTCAAAAGCATATACAGTCAAGATTCCTATAGTGCGGATTCGTTCTTGCCGGATACCTATAGCACTTATGCCACTGGATTCTTATATTACGGTCGATCCGGCATTAACGAATACACGTAGCATATGGGATTTTTGAGCTAATTGGGACCAAACACTGATAGTCCGGCAATTTGAAGAGATAAGCAGATAGTTGGCCACCTTTAGGGAAGAATCAGTATCCGGTAGGACACAAGTCTGATCCTGTGGAAGATCCGGCGCATCCGTAAAAGTGACCAATTCATGAAACTGATCCTAGAACTCCGTTGTTTTTCAGAAACCACTCATAGACATCTTATCACAATAAATTCGGATATATGACCTGCAAATGAACGCTGGGGAGTAAGGACTGGTCCATCGAAAGATCCGGAACATCCGTAAAAGTAGTCAATTCATAAAACTGATCCTAGAGCTCCTCGGATTTTTAGAAACCCTATGAGTCTTATCAGAATGAATTCGGAGTTGTGTTCGGAATAATAACTCTGGGGACTACGGGATGGTCCACTTGTAAATCCGGAACATGCGCAAAAGTGGTCTATTATTGAAACTGATCCTAGAGCTCCGTGTTTTTTTTTTAAACCACTAATAGGCGTCTTATCAGAATAAATTCGGAGTTTTGAATAGACAATGGATGCTGGGGACGACGGGATGGACCTATTATAAATCCGGAACATCCGTAAAAGTGGTCAATGCATGAAACTGATCCTAGCGCTCCGTGGTTTTTTCGAAACCACTAATAGACGTCTTATCCGAATAAATTCGGAGTTTTCAACAGACAATGGATGCTGGGGACGACGCGATGGTCCACTTATAGATCAGAAATATCCGTAAAAGTGGTCAATTCATGAAACTGATCGTAGAGCTTCGTGTTTTTTTTTAGAAACCACTCATAGACATCTTATCAGAATTAATTCGGAGTTGTGTTCAGAATATGGACTCTGAAGACTACGGGATGGTCAACCGGAAGATTCGGAACATCCGTGAAAGTTATCAATCTATGAAATTGATCCTAGAGCTCTGTGTTTTTTTCAAAACGTCTCATAGACGTCTTATTACAATAAATTCAGAGTTTTGACCAGACAATGGATGATGGGGATCACGGGATAGTCCACTTATAGATTCAGAACATTCGTAAAAGTGGTCAATTCATGAAACTGATCCTAGTGCTCCACGTTTTTTTTTCGAAACCACTCATAAATTAATATGAATAATAACTCAATGAGACGATATATTTAAATGGCTTATGGATTAAATTTTGATGTGGTGCATTAAAACTATAACCAATAAAGATAGTTCGTTGTTAACTTGTTACTCCAAAAAAGAAATCCAAGAAGTCAAGGGAAAGAAGTCCAAAAAATTCTAGGGATAATATTAATAAATCCGTTAAAAGCGTCTAGCAGTTATTAAATACTTAAATACCTCCTAGAAATCATCCATGATAATATACAGAAAAAAATATTTCTATGAATAGTTCTAAAAAAACCATAGAGTGCTGAGATCAGTTATCTAATACTATCCACTTTAACGGACGTTCCGGATATTCCGGACCCGGGATCCATTTGCCAGTCACAGCTCTGAGTTCATTCTGATGAGACGTCTCTATGATATTTCAGAGGAGCGCCTTTGATCTTCTAGAAGAGCATTCATAGTCGCCAGGGTCTATTTTCCGATCATAGCTCTGAATTCATAATTATAAGACGGCACTTTTACGGATGTTTCGGATCTTTCGGAGGACCATCCAAATGGTCCCAAAGCTGTATTTAGGAAGACAAACATGTTTGCGCCCAAACCGTCAGTTTTAGGTATGTAGGTATATCAGGAAAGTCTCTTCATATTTTTGGCCGATCTTTTTATGTTAGTGAAATAAGGGTGGTACATACAATTGATGAATTGGTGCTACAAACTTTTTTATTATTTGGGATAGACCAATACAATGTTGTGGTCACAACTTTGAATTAATTATGATAAGACGTCTATGAGTGGTTTTGAAAATATCACGGAGCTCTAGGATCAATTTCATGAATTGATCCCTTTAACGAATGTTCGTGATCTTGCGGTCGATCAGTAAGTGGTCTCCAGGGTTCATTTTTCGGTCACAACTCCGAATTAATTCTGATAAGACGTCTACTAGTACCTTATAAAAACCACGTAGCTCTAGGGTCAGTTTCATCAATTGATCAATTTTACGGATGTTCTGGGTCTTCCAGAGGACCAGACTTCTGACTTTCCGGGTGCAAAATTGTCCCAAAACGAGGTCATCCATCTTGTGAAGAACTTTTCAGAAGACACCAGGAAGTTATTTCTTCAAATTACCCTACAATAAGTGTTGGTCCCCAATTAGCTCTAATCCCACATGGCACGTGTATTCGTTAATGCCGGTTCCTATTGTACCGTACTATAGGAATCTTGATTGTAATAGGTTTAGGATGCTTGACGTCATCCGACAACTAGTAGAATGGGGCTTCCGTGGACACATCCTCCTCTTCATAAGGAATTTCTTGCTCTGCCGAACCTTCCAGGTAATTATTGGGAACCATCGCTCGAAAATTTTCTCGGAGGAGACACAAGGATCGGTTATCGCCGTAACGTTATTTATAGTATAGATGAATGGGATCTTCCAAAACCTCCCTATGGAGATCTACATATTTGTTTACGCTGGCGATATCGTTCTGGTCGTCATTAGAAATACCACAAAAACTCTCTGCATTACTCTAAATGCCGCTGCGAGAGCGGTTTTCCGGTGGGCTTCTCCTGCGGGTTTTCTAATCTCAGTGGAAAAGAGCTGATATATACACAACCATCGACCTCTCAGAAACCCCCTGCGAATAATCGACGCAACGATTACATACTTCAACACCATCCGCATTCTCGGTGTCCAGTTTGATAGAAAGCTTTGATTCACAGCACACTTCAACGAGGTCAAATCAAACTGCAAATCTAGCTTAAACATTCTTCGTACCCTCGAAGTTCGACATCTAGACAGCAACCGAACCTTCCGACTCCATGCTTCCAGGGCCATAGTCAAATCTCGTCTGACATACGGTCTGGAAGTGGCTTGCCTTGTTCGGGATCGGTTAATCGATGTTCTCAGTCCCACGTACAATCAAGTCATTAGAATTTCCACTGGCCTACTGACCTACTGCCCTCAACCCCAGGTGATGCATGTGTAGGTAGGTTCGCTCACTTTCAACCGGTACATTGCCAACGTCATCTGTCGAATAGTGATCGGGATAGCTTCAAAGACTACAGGTGATGGAGGGTTCCTCCTAGAGGAGGCCAATCAACTTCTGATGGAATTTTTAACCAGTAGCTCCCCACAGTGTGCCGGGTTCACTGGATTGAAACCAGGACTAGGAACCTACCTGAACCCAGAATCGATCCAACTTTCAAAAACCATTTTAAAGCAGGTTCCAACCCACAAGCGGTAACCCAACTCCAGCGCGACACTCCGATGGTTCAGTTACCCATAGGAGTATCCACATCGGCATCGATATTACCGGCCTACAAATGTCTGAATGTTTTCAAATACATCGATCTTTTCTGCAGAGGCTGCTGCAGCCTTTATTGCCGCCACCACTCCGATAAACCAATATCCATATTCATGAATTCAGCCAGCGTAGTCGAAGCTATTCAATCCGATACCACAAAGCACCCATGGAATCAGGGTACCCAGACAACCAGAAGTCGTATAATAATGTACAGACAGTATCATAAATTGCTACAGTTTTAGTCAAAATCGCATATAATAATGGCATACCTCGCATTATGTTTAAGTTAAATCGTATAGAATGCAAATTTCCGACCAATATGCGATGACTCATTTTTCCATCGTACTGTATTACAAATTAAATCGGATTACATCGTAAGACTTTTCAAAATGAATTTGTTATTACAGATTACATCGTATATGATATTAAATCAACTCGATTAAAATTAAATTAAAATATGCACGTATATGGCCTCCACTTTTGTACGTATAAGCCATTTCTTTGCATTATATACGAATTGTTTGTTTGTATATATGTTTGTATATCACCAAAACAACTTTGAATATACGTGCATTCTGGTTGTCTGGGTATACAGATGAACGCGCCCTTTGGCACCACCTTCGAATGGATCCCTGGACACTGTAGGGTTCGTGATGACATTGAAGCAGATCACCTGGCGGCTACTGGAAGGCAGTGCACGTTATACACCCAAGAAATTCCTGAGCATGACCTAAAAAAGTGGATCACAGAGATCATCCAGGACTAATGGGCAGTTGAATGGAGCAAAAAAAAGAGAACCATTCATCCGAAGGGTTAAGGGAGACATAGGAAAGTGGAACGTCCCGCCTGACCACCGAACGCAGATCATAATCTTGCGACTGAGGACAAGCCATACAAAGTGTTCCCACAACTTCTCGGGAACCGGTCCTTTCAGATTAATCTGTGAAATCTGTCAAGTTCTCCACTCAGTGGGACACAAGTTGTGCTGCTGCCCGCAATACCAGGGCCCATGACATTCGTGACGCCCTTTTCAACGACCCCACCAGGATTGCGGCCCTCACTGGGTTTCTTCACGAAGCCGAACTCTACAACCAAGTTTAAACCTACCAATATACCCCAATTATCGTAGTGCCCACGGACCTTCCCACAAATCAAACTTGGAATCACGAGTCAAAACCTCAAACTTAGACAATGACTACCGCCTATCCGTGGAACACGGAAATGAGGACCAACACAACTATAACGGAACCGACTTTACTTTACCCTTCAGATAATCGACATCACAGGTCTCCCCCCTGGAACCTCACCTTTTTTCTGGAGAACTCTTTCTGGAATCTCCTAATACCAAACTTCGTTTCCGCTTACTCTGTAACTAAGGGGGAATCCTTCTGGCTCCCCCAAACTCTTCACCAGAGGTGAACCAGCCAAAGGC